TTCGAAATAACTATCAATGATTTTGTTAAATATCCAACGAAAAATTGGTTTTACTCTGTGTTAAAATTCCATAGGAGTTTTTCAACAAAATTTATAATAATAGAAAAAACCATTGAAATTTCTATTGCAACTCCATTGAAATATTATGTTCATTTTCTTGTACTGTAGAGTATAATTAATTTTTGAAGCCAAAATATATAGACTATATTGTTATTTATTTTGTGATTTTCTTGATTGGTACTGTGCTTGTCTGGTGTAATATAGTCATGCATTTCCATTTTCTCACATTATTATTTTATATCTCTTTAACTATCAGCAGTTAAGTCCAGTCAAGCCCACATTTGAATTTAGAAGAAATCTATGGATCCTTGAGTCTTGATTTTCCAATTAATATTTGGCTTTATTTCTTTTGGTCATTATTGGATTGACCAAAGTCCTCCAATTAAAGAAGATATAGTGATAAGCCTCTGTTTCCAAACAACTAATTGTGAATCCACTTTCGATTACTTCTAATTAGCACTAAGATTATTCAAGTTGGGCATAGATAATGGACTACATTATCCCAATCGTAATTTTTTTTAATGCCCCACGTCCAATATCGATACAGTTTATGAAACAGCACGAATATGAAATCAGTTTTATTATCTTTTAATTTTCAATTTTTTTCTGGTAAAATTATGGAAAAAATATATTTTAATAATTAATTTACCGTCAATTGTAATCAGGGTATGAAACATTAGAACTGTTAAACGAAACAAGTCATTGATGGACTCGAACTCAGTTCGTTCATCGTGCTCATTTAATGCTCGTTTATTAACGTGTCGAGCCGAATTCGACTCGAATGAACAAAAAAATTATGTAATTTTCTATAACCCAGATCGTTAAAGCTTAAGTTCAACTCGTTGATATTGATAAATAAGTCAAATAACTTGAACTCGTTTATCGGCTTGCTTAGTTAATCAATTCGATAAAGACTAAAACTCGAGTACCAAGAGCTCGATTTCGACTTGACTCGACTCGATTTGTTTACGTTCGTACGAAACATACAATCTACTTGCCAATTGCCATAATAATAATAATAATAATAATAATAATAATAATAATAATAATAATAATAATAATAATAATAATTGGTGGTCAAGGTTTTAGCATAAATGTATGCTTACACATGGGCAAAATTTCGAAATTGGTCCTATAACTTGGCCACAGTCCAAAAAAGCACTCCGATATTAACCACTTTCAATTTCGGTCCTATAATTTGTCGATTTCATCATTTCTGGTCCATTTTTATCCCAACCCCAGATAAAAATTTGACGTGGCGTTTTTTAAATCTGATGTGGCGTGACTATAGATTATGTGGCAGGATTATGAAATATTTACTTAAAATTAAAAAAATTCATTCTTCTTTATTCATCTGGCCCCTCCTCCTCCGCCCCGCCGCCGCCGCCGCCGGCCGACGACATCCGATTATTTTTTTTATATCATCTTGAAGCTCTTCTCGTCCTTGTTCACCTCCTAAAATTTCCGGCAAAAAATTCCACTTGTAAAGCTGTTAATTGCTCTGGTCAAAGTATTTAGATCTAGAAAATCCGGTCAAAATTTGATTTTCTTCATCAATTTTCCGGTGATGTACTGCGACCCACCAAAATCCGAGGACACTTCTGGATTCCTCAGACCATCGTGCACCCAACGATGTCCAGCATCTCCAGATCCGACGACTTTTCCGGCAACCCGTTTTCCGGCGGGTATCAAGGAGAACACGACTAGCTGTTGAAAATGTCGACCTTGACCGCTGCAGTGCAGGCGTAGTTGCTGGACGCTAAACGAGCGGCTGGTAGACGGGCTCTCGCACAAGGGATGTGCAGTCGACGGATGGCTTTGCCCAGATGTCGCCGGCTGCAACTGCTGGGCTATGGTCTGTATAATGGAATTCCGGCGACGGACAGAATGTGGTGTTGGACGCCGGGATGTTGGTGTTGACGTTGGGATGGGGGAAACCAATTTTACGATCTACTTTTTTCTTTTGTTTTAATATTTTGTTTTTGGTTTTAATATTCTGTTTTTTAGATTTTAATATTCACCTAGTTTTAATTTTTTGTGTTTAGTTATTTTTTTGTTTTCTACATGAATATAATAATTCTTACATGACATTAATAAATTATTAAATACAAATGAAGCCGCCACTTCATACAAAAAATGCCACGTGACGCCACGTCAAATTTTTATACGGGGTTGGGATAAAAAAGGACCATAAATGATGAAATCGACAAATTATAGGATCCAAATTGAAAGTGATCAATATCGGGATGATTTTTTGAACTGTGGCCAAGTTATAGGACCAATTTTAAAATTTTTGCCCCTACACATGAACAGGATGAAGCACATAACAGGCTATGATTAGGTGCCATTTACAGCAACATCCATTTTATAGTACATGATAAAAAATAAAAAACTAAAGGTCGAAACCATGGTTCGTAATTTTCGGGTCGGGGTCATTTTTTAGTTGAAAATTTGGTGGAAAATTGACATGTACACGTTTTTGGCATGAATTTTTTCGTTGAAATTTAGAGTTCTCGTTAAAATTATTTTCAAATGGATCAATTTCAAAACCTTTCAGCCAAAATATACCTAAAATCGGTCAATACAGAAGTTTGACAACCAGAATTCAAAATTTCATTCAAAATAATACTCAAAGTAACTAAATTTTAAAATTTTAAGTCCTCTGATACTTCTTTAGAGTCTAATGTGATTGGTATACTTACATTTGAGTGAAAATTTTACAATAATAAAAAGATATGTACAGTGAACTAACTACTATGTATGACATGTACCTGCATTCAATTAGTTTCCTGGTTATGCCAACAAGGACATATTGAACAGCAGTGAATGAGTTCAATCATTGTAACCAGCCATTATTACAATTTGCTTTCTTCATACGCCATCAAGAAATCAATTCTAACAAACGGGGTTGACGGGTACGGTTCCACTGATAAAGCGCACCAAATTAGGAAAGCCCAAGTGAAATTACATCTCAAAACCAATTGGTGGTAAGAAGAGTAGTCCACTAAACTTATAAGTTAGACCTATTTTCCCTGTACAGACGATGTGGGACAACTCACAAGTGTATATTCTAACAAATTCATTATTTTATTTCGTCGGAAAAGAAAAATTGATAATTTCTAGTTATTGATTTTTTTAATTATTGAAACAATACACATCCATAATCAATACACACACAATTTGCCTGAATATATGTTGATTAAACGATGAAAAACATAATTAGTACATTAAAATCAACTGCGTAAAAAATCTAGGTCGAAAAACTGTTGAAAACAATTGAGTAAAAGCTACTTGTAACAAAGAGACACAAATAATTAATTAAGGTCCCGCGAAAAATCTCATTTGTATGGTAGCAATCCCTAATTTGCGATCTATCCAACTGCAAACCTCGGTTCTTTGCCTGACCTCCTCTTCAGCAGGGAGAGTCGAGACTGACGAGCACCAAGGCAGCCTCTCCTTCTTCGTCATGTCTTGATTTCCTTCTCGAAGCAGATTTTCTTCCTAAATCGAATGTCTGCAGATTTTGTTATACAAGTCTATTTTTATTTTTATTTTTTTCTATCGACCGAGTTGTTACTTATCCATATTTTTTTCAAGCAAATATGCATGTTTTAATATGAAATACCATATTTTAAACAACATAGGCATTTCACAAAAACATGCATTTTTGTTAAAAAAAAAATTACCAAATGTAATTGTTATTTCAGTATAATAACTAATGTAAAAAAGAAAAATATATCAAGTGAACAACAAAAAGAAAAATATATCAAGTGAACAACAAATCCCCCAATTAAACAAGGCCCAATTGGTATGCGGTCAATCACTCAACAAAAGCAAAGTTGTCTTCTATATATGGAAAGTTATATATTCTAAAGGACTTCATCATTATTCATCAATAGACATCAAGTAGCTAATCAATCAAAATTCACTTATAAGATATTGAGAGATTAATGAGACTCCAGGGTAAAGGTTGGATCATAATTATTGCAGATCAATAGCTATTGTACTAAATTACAAATTCAAAC